GAGGTAACGCATACGTCGCATCCGTGGCTGTTTACAGCTCGTACACCCAGGTTCTTCAGGCCATGTCTGAGGCCCAGCAGTTCAACGGTCCCTCGGTTGTTGTCGCCTACCTGCCTTACAACCAAGAGAACGACTCGGCACTCACAGTGCTGCAGGAGACCAAGAAGGCCATAGATCTCGGCTACTGGCCCCTGTACCGCTGGAACCCCGACAACGAGGAGAAGGGCGAACCAAAGTTCTCCCTTGACTCCGAGCGCATCAAGCGTGATCTTGAGGAGTTCCTCCGCCGGGACAACCAGCTTACCCAGCTCATGAACCGCCACCCCAAGTATGCCCCTGTTCTCTCTGAGTCTTACGGCACTGAGGTACGTGCTTTGCAGAAAAGAAATGCCAAGGACTCATATGAGAAGCTCTTGGATGGTCTGTTCGGTGCTCCTCTCACCATTCTTTTCGCATCCGACGGTGGTAATGCCCAGAACATTGCTAAGCGTCTTGGCAACCGTGGTCGCGCCAGAGGCCTGAAGACCATGGTCATTGCTATGGATGAGTTCCCTCTTGAGGACCTGCCCACTGAGGAGAACGTTGTGTTCATCACTAGTACTGCAGGCCAGGGTGAATTCCCTGTGAACGGTCGTGCCCTCTGGGAGCATGTCAAGAACACCGGTGATCTCGACCTGTCCACCATCAACTATTCCGTTTTTGGTCTTGGTGACAGCCACTACTGGCCCCGCAAGGAGGACAAAATCTACTACAACAAGCCTGGAAAGGACCTTGATGACCGTGTCGCCTTCTTGGGTGGTCGCAAGCTCACTGACATTGGCCTCGGTGATGACCAGGACCCTGATGCCTACCAGACCGGGTACTCCGAATGGGAGCCCCGTCTGTGGAAGTCTCTCGGTGTCGATAAGGTGGAAGGTCTGCCCGAGGAGCCTGCCCCGATCACCAACGAGGATATTAAGATCGGCTCCAACTTCCTTCGCGGTACCATCGCTGAGGCTCTTCTTGATGAGAGCACTGGCGCTATCCCCGCTAGTGATCAGCAGCTGACCAAGTTCCACGGTACATACATGCAAGATGACCGTGATCTCCGTGATGAGCGCAAGGCCCAAGGTCTTGAGCCTGCCTACAGCTTCATGATTCGCTGCCGTCTCGCCGGTGGTGTTGCCACCCCTAAGCAGTGGCTGCAGATGGATGCCATCAGTAGCTCACACGGTAACGAGACCATGAAGCTCACTACCAGACAGACCTTCCAGTTCCACGGTGTGATCAAGCGCAACCTTCGTGGCGCCATGCGTGCCATCAACAACTCCATGATGGACACACTCGCTGCCTGCGGTGATGTGAACCGTAATGTTATGTGCAGTTCTCTCCCCGAGCTGTCTTCCTTCCACCGTGAGACCTGGGCTATCTCTTCCAAGATCAGTGAACACCTGCTGCCCTCAACTTCTGCCTACCATGAGATTTGGCTGAAGGATGACAACGACAAGAAGGTTCAGGTCGCTGGAGATGCTGTCGTTGACCACGAACCCCTCTACGGTCCTACCTACCTCCCCCGCAAGTTCAAGATCACCATTGCCATTCCTCCTCACAACGACACTGATGTCTATGCCCACGACATTGGTTTGATCGCCATCAAGGGCGCCGATGGCCACCTAGAGGGCTTCAACGTACTGGCTGGTGGTGGTATGGGTTCCACCCATAACAACACCAAGACCTACCCCCAGACTGGTCGCATGTTCGGATACATTCCCGCCGACAAGATCCACCTTGCCTGCGAGAAGATTATGCTCGTGCAGCGTGACAACGGCGACCGCAAGAACCGCAAGCACGCCCGTATGAAGTACACCATCGACGATATGGGTGTTGAGGCTTTCCGAGGCGAGGTCGAGAAGCTTCTTCCCGACGGCCTCAAGTTCGGCGAACCCCGCCCCTTCGAGTTCAAGTCCAACGTCGATACCTTCGGCTGGATCAAGGATGATACTGGTCTCAACCACTTCACCTTCTTCATTGAGAATGGCCGTATCGAGGATTCTGCCGATTTCAAGATGCGCACCGGTCTTCGTGAGCTTGCTGAGATGGGCAAGGGCGAGTTCCGTCTTACCGGTAACCAGCATCTGATGATCTCCCGCATCACCGATGAAGACCTCCCCGCTATTAAGGAGCACATGGCCAAGTACAAGCTTGACAACACTGCTTTCTCTGGCTTGCGTCTGTCTTCCTCTGCTTGTGTTGCCTTCCCTACCTGCGGTCTGGCCATGGCAGAGTCCGAGCGCTACCTCCCCGTTCTGATCTCCAAGCTCGAGTCCACCCTTGAGGAGTGTGGTCTTGCTCGTGACAGTATCGTCATGCGTATGACTGGTTGCCCCAACGGTTGTGCTCGTCCCTGGCTCGCCGAGGTTGCCTTTGTCGGAAAGGCCTTCGGTGCATACAACATGTACCTGGGCGGTGGCTACCACGGCCAGCGCCTCAACAAGCGCTACCGCTCTTCCATCAAGGAGGATGAGATCCTTGACATTATGAAGGACCTCCTGAAGCGCTACTCTCTTGAGCGTGATACCGATGGCGAGACCCCTGAGCGTTTCGGTGATTGGTGTATCCGTGCTGGTGTCATCAAGGCCACCACTGATGGACAGAACTTCCACGATGGCGTAAGTGATTCCTTCCATGATATTCACACTATTGATTCTAATAATTTCCTACAGGTTGCCGAAGATGAGGAAGAAGAAGAGTAAATGTTGAACACCGCATTTACGCATATAATCTCCGATTTTTTATGACTCTCATGGGATTCTAAAATTTCCTTTTTTCCCCCTTTCTAATTGTTGGATATTCTCACGTCTATATCTCACGTCGCAATGCATTGATGTCTTGGCGATTGTATGATTCCATGCAAAAATGTTAGATTTCGCTTTTTCTTTTCTGCTTTATTCCCTTTCTTCATGTGAATTTCAATGACAGTTCAAGTCTGCTCGTACATATATACTCAAATGAGATCAGTTTTCTATCAGCTTAGGATCAATCAAAACATTCTCGTAGTCTCATAAACTATAGTAAGTACCGAAGTAGTAAACCCTGGGACATCCAGAGGTGGCAGAAACCCAACCCGTGGAATCAACTCAGGGGAGGCGCGCTGGCCACACATCGATGCAGGTTTGACATCACCCCCAGTGCCTTTTTGGCCTTCACCCTCCAAAGCTTCGTTGGTCCCAACCTTCTCACTTCTTCTTCTTCTAACCACTTTCGTTAATGTCCATTTCAGCTTAAGGTCGATCAATATGAACTCGATTCTATCCGCGGCTTTCGCGCCACTGCTCTATCTACGCCCTCGGTTTCGTCAAGATCAGGACTGGTCGTATCGACAAGCACTGGCAAACACTTTTATGAAAGTCTTCCTACGCATTTTCGTGGTATTTCGCACAAAACCACCGCTTTCTCTCAAACCTGGTCTAGATGGAGACCGCTTCGTCGTGATAGAGCCTGGGCCACCAGAGCTCTACACCAGCATCACAGTAGACGATGAGATCCAACCAGTGGCTGTAGGAGGCACCTGGTTCCCATCACTCTACCAATACAACACAACCACCACCCAAGACAAGCATGTCGTGCTCCATTTCCACGGCGGCTCTTACATCCTTGGCGACGGCCGCACATCATCTTGCAAGTTCCTCGCCAACAGCTTACTAGAACATACACCAGTAAGCCACGTCTTCAGCCTACAGTACCGTCTAGCCTGCAACCCCAACGGCCGTTTCCCTGCACAACTTCAAGACGCCATCTCCGCCTACTCGTACCTACTCCACACGCTGCACATCCCGGCATCTCGCATCGTTTTCAGTGGCGACAGCGCAGGTGGCCACCTCGTCCTCGCACTCCTGCGTTACATCACCAAATATGACGACGAGACGATCCTTCCCCGGCCCACCTGCTCGTGGCTTTTCTCGCCCTGGTGTGATATCCCTAACTCTCGCAACAAGCATCTCTGGGAGAACATACCAAATGTACAGACGGACTATATTCCACCCTCATTCCCCGCGTGGGGCGCGAAGCATTTGATCGGCAACCTAGATATCACTAGCGAGTTCGAGCCGTATCTTGCGCCCATCTGGCACCCCTTTGTCCTGCCTTCGCCTGTCTTGATTGTTTCCGGTGGTCGGGAGGTTATGTGTCAGGAGCATGATCGGTTGGCGAGACATTTCAGTAAAATGCAGCAGAATGAAGGTCGAGTGGAGTATTTCGTGCAGGAGCACTTGCCGCATGATATTCTCATGGTTGCTTGGATTCTGAACTTTCGGAAAGAGGCTGAACAGTGTGCTGTCCAAGCCGGGGGGTTCTTGACGAGAACACAGGCTCAGTCGGAGGGGGATGATACTGAGGTTCCTTCTGTGGCTTTTGGGTCAGGATGATGTTGCTACGTCTACTATGCCCTTTCGGTGTATCATATTGCTTCCCACATATGTATTGCTATTTGAGCTAAACTTTCTCAACTCTTGATTCTACGTGGGAGAACGCCTCTTTACGGATTCTCCTGGGCATATTAGAAAAAGGCCTTTTGGTAGCCACTTCCAACATGTCAGCTCTTTCCCCTTTCATCTCTTCGTCATTTGTTTGGTTGGAATAACCAGGACCGCCTTCCCTAAAATTATTTTCAAGCAGTGATTTGTTTGTCAGTGACCAGGCAGCCTCCAGCCTTTTCAGACATCAACCCCCTCCCAAATTCTTTCTCTCTTTCAATCTCTTTTCTCTCAAGATCCTGTACCCATCGCAACTTACAACCCGCATCGAGGCTCCTATTCTCGATATTATCCTATTCAACGCAACGCCAGTGTTTTGATTTCATCTAAAATCGTTGGCACTATCGACTTATCGACCTCCGTCATTCCTTAGCCTCAGTGCGTTGACGCGTTGACGCGTTGACAACACCGGAAAAGACCCAGGGAATTCGAAGACACATACAGTTATATCGCGATCGAGCAGTAGTCTACGTACCGTCGCGGTCGAAAATGGCACCTATCCCAGGAGTCATTTGCAAAGCAGCTCGCTTTGAGAACCTGTGCAGCATAAACTGGACAGACTACAGCACGTACACCAAGGTAACGACAACTGGCAAGCATACTAGCTGCAACAAGCTGGTAAACTTCTCTCACAAACTCCAGGAGCTGCCATGTTTGCCCATGGTCATTGGGAGCGTTCTTTTTGCGATGATCGTGGTGGGCATTGTCGCCCACTTTTGCTTTCGGGGAAGGCACAGGTATGTGGTGAATATCTTATTTGTGATTGCGCGGGGTCACTCATTTGAGTTGGTCATGCAGGCATCCGCGGCAAACTGCATCTCCCGAGGATAAGATGAAGACAGAGGGTGCTGAGTATCTGGATGTGGTTGAGGAACCCCGCTCAGGTATGTTGAGACATACATGTCTTGCTATGTGCCCGGCTCATGAGGTATATAGATGGCTGGATGTGTTTCATTCTGGCCTGCCATGCTGCCATTACCCTCGGTGGTGTCTGATGCAAAGGTACATATACAGCTGTTGGAGAACAAGACAGTCAGATGGATACCCCCTGTTCTCTGGTCAGCTAACAATGCTCTGCGGAACTGTAGTTGTCTTGTGGAACTTGTAGTCTCAACTACAAGTCCCGTGCTTGTGGTCTGAGCCTGATGTGACGATTTATTTATGAGACTGGATCGAATATGGGTTCGGGCGTCTAGCAATGAATATTTCTATGTTTAGGAAAAACAGTCCACTCAGCACAAACGAAGTGGAGAAATAGATGTGCAGTCTAAGACATTATCAATAACAGAACATGTTAGTTGTATAACATACCTATATGTTAACGGATATCGCTCAACTACCTTGTACAAGTAGATGTAGGGACCGTTTTGTTATAGTGTATGCAGAGTAGAGAATACTAAATATTCCCCGGTCAGGGTGATAATAGCCTGATAAGAATATCAATAGATCCTTTGGGAAATTCAACATTCAAGGATAAAGTGGCAGCTTTGTAGGAGGGTCACTCCCAGGAGAGAGAACTTACTAGGAAAAGATAGATGCAAAGACGCTAGGGGCTTCATCGCATGGTATGAAAACCGTGTCTCATTCACGAGGAGATACGAATCAAATGGTCGGACCCAGCCTTAACCATCCACCCCGAGTACCATCATGGTCCATGGTATCATAGCCTTGGTGGTGATCCCCGTTGTTCTCGCTGGCCATGTAACGCTTGATGGGGCGGGAAATCGCGTGGCGCTGTACTTTGATGTCGCATTTTGGGTCTGCAGACCGCCATGACCATTCGTGTCCTCGTAGATCCCGCTCATCAAATTTCAAGTTTCTAGGTCGTAGAGGGTCTTGGTGGTGCTTGTCAGCGATTTCGCCCACCTGGGAATCGAGCTACATAGTCTGTGACTGCAGTTAATATCCTCAGCGAGATCGTCTGGCAGCGACAACCCCGCGATAGATGATCACCATGTGAAGGCGAGCTTAGGTTGACAGGCCACATGCTGTGATCACAATGTTCTTTGGGATTAACATGGCGAAGCCGTTGAAAATTGATCAAACGACAATTACGAAGTACTAGCTAGGAAAGGTTGAGATCTACGTGGGAATCGGATCGTCAGGGTATTTATAAATTATAGTTGCAGGAAATTTGGATCATCATAGGATGACGTTTTTTAGACTGTGGATCTTGATCCTATCAGACCAGACCAGATTAAATGAGGCTGAATATTCCTAGTTGTAGGCGGTGGTGCCATGACTCTCCTAAATATTCAGCATGGTCGTGTGGAATCTACTACACCTAACCCTGAGCGACAGATCTATGGCTGGTCTTGACGCTCCTCTTATTTGTGACTACCCCATTCGGGGGGGATTGATTAGCCGATTTATGTATCGTTGGTTGCCTTGATGAAAAGGAACCGTGAGTTGTCTGCAACCCAAACTGTTACAGACGCTTTGTTGGCACGAGCGATTCGGATGTCCTCGAGTCATGGTAGTGGGTTAGTGCGAGGATGAACTAATGGATTGACAACAATCAATGGAAAATAGGGAGATTTGAGAAAGGGGTGCGTCTCTCACGCTAGGAAGGTATCGAGGTGGAATTGGCGTGCTCGATAACGACGGAGGCTAGAAGAACCTCGATGCCAGGGGAGAATGCTTAGATATGAGAGGGAGGATAGCACGGTAGCTCTCTCAGCACAACTCAATGGTCCTCCAGGAGGCAAATAAAGAAACAAGGGGGAACCGGAGTGATATCAATCTAAACCAAGTAATGGCGGTGAACCGATAGCAGTCTTTCTGCCCACATCCCCGCCGATGAATTTCGATAAAAAAAAAGTTATCAGCCCAAGTTGCGGCAATTGTGACTAGTTTGCTCTTTCCTCTTTTTTATCACTCATCATTGATCTAAGATACTTCTTCACCTTGTTGCTATGGCTTTTTCCGATGACGATCCAGTTGTTGCCTCCTACGACGTCCTTCTCACTGACTCCGATATCTCTCGCTATGTTTTCCAATACGTTGATCGAGAGCACGACCGTCCCTACAATGACCAAGAAAACCAACGACCGATTCAACTTCGACTTAAACCACGCACCGGTCTAGTGGAAGTTGAAGTCCCCATCATCACCCGAGATAACTACGACGTTAACAAGGGAATGCGCTACGGGGATGCGGTAAAGCAGAGCCGATCTGCGCGCGGCGGAGGTGCTTATGGCATGGCAGGTGGCTTCACTGCTGGGAGCGGAACTGCAGCTGCAGGGGGGAGGGTCAAGATGGAATCGAATGGGGATGTGGAGATATTGGATAATAAGAGAGCTGTGGATTCTGCATCATTGATGCGAGTGCAGTCACTCGGAGGTCGCATAAAACCCTCCGAAGAAGGCGATCCAGTTTACATGCTGGCCACCTTCACGGATAGTACGTTGGTTTTACTCGATCACTTTCTTTTTGCTGGTGACAACATTCGATCCTAACCCCCGTTCTTAGAAAACTTGCATCTCTCACCCGTCACATCAGTTGTCCAGTTCCATCCTCAGCTTCACCACCTGGACGCTCTAGATGAAGTCCCAAAAGCGAAAGGTTCACGTGCTAGAAAGGACGATGATGACCGCCCTGCCGAGAGTGAAGCACGTGCCATTGATATTAAAGTCAAGGCCGCTGAAGATGGCGAAGGGGCTGCAAACGCCGGTAATCTAGACCTCCTTAAACAAATGCAAGACGAGAAATGGAAGACGTACGGCTGGGTTGATGCCGAGGTATGTTGTCTCTTTGATATACCTTCTTGATTCATGTTTCCCACTAATTCTTACCGATCCCAGGCCGAGGATTCTTGGTACACATACGAGAGCTACATGATTCACAAGGATACTGAAGACCTCCCGGCCTTAGAATCAAACATCGAGTCAGAAGCCTACCTCGATAAAATGAGCGCCCCTAGAATTGATCCTGCGCGCCCCGACATGACTGGTTGGGCTATGAAAGAAAATCGCCGGAGGCAAAGAAACGACCAAACAGATAATGAGGCCGCATAGCGAAGGGTTCTATTGTACAATAATCCAAACAATCAATTTTTAGTGAAAGCTTATGATAATCCTTAGAGAGTTCGAGTTTATTAAGCACAAAATCATGCCTGCTTCGTGTTAGCTTAAAAAGGAACATGCGAAGCTCTAGTTAGTTAACTAGTAACTATATCTACCCAGGTCTTGCCACTCATACAAGGTTGTCCGCCAATCACGATAAGAGAATGGATCAGGTCACGTGCCTTGTTCGGTTTTTCTGCCATCTCCGTTTTATCGCGACAGGTCCGATAATTCTCCCTTTCTTTCGTTGCCTTCGTGTTTTTTTTTCCCTTTTCTCTCTTTTTTCCCAGTTCGGTCGAGGGTTGCAGGGCAGCGTTTCAACGCTATTACCATCCGTCTTCTATAGCGGAACAATCGCATTGGTTTAACTCAACATATATCTTTGCGGTGTTCTGTTTTCCTGGACATCACCGTTGGAAGTCTGCATCTATCTTATAATTTACCCCTAATATCTTTTTCTTTTGGAGTCATTATCTTCTCGTTCGCTTGAATCCTCCGACCTCCGATCTCCAAGCCCCAAAAAGCGCCGGTTTCATGCACCATGTTATCCCGTGTGGCTTGTCAGAGAAATGCTTTCCTTCAACTTCGGAGGACGCAAGCCTTCCGAGCACCGTTCCATTTACCGAAAACACGTTTTCATTCAAGTAATCGAAACCCACTTTTGAATCTGTCGGGACATTCGATTCACGATCGCACGCGTAATCCGTCGCAATCCGAACGTCACCTTGCTACAGCCGCCGATCACTCTAGCATCGATGGCCATTCACCCGACCCTTACGACCACTTCATGCACATGCCTTTTGAGAACTTCGATACATCATCCCTGGTCATCCTCGACTCGACACCACAATCGCAATCAAAAATCTTCCGCAGAAGGCATGGTGTCGGCGGTGATGAATTGGAGATGCGGGCGAATCTAGACCTCTCATTGAAGATTGGAGAATTCGAGCGAGCCTCTGCGTTGATTGCCCGCCTCGGCCATTATCATCCGCCTGGCTCGGAGGAGTATCTCTTTATTCACAACCGCTTTATGAAGCAGATGGTGGCGTATATGATCCTCCACCGACAGCAAGACATGGTTCTGCCGTTGCAGAAATGGTTCGAAGTTGATATGCCTGCCGGTGGCGTGACACCGGATGCAGTCAGTTTCGCGATTATGATTCGAATGGCGCTCCGTATGCTTCATGGTTCGAAGCGCGACAGAACTGTTCGTCGATACTGGGAGCTTGCCCAAAACGCGGGTATGGAGGAAGAGCTTGTCGGCATTGAGGTTCTTGAGGACTCTGATGTTGGTGAGCTGTCTAAGGTGAGCTTACATTTCTAGTCTGTACTTTGAAATCATGCTGATGTTTCCAACTTAGATTTGCTCCTCCGACATGCTGGACTTGGTCTCGAAATATATGGAACTGTCTGAAACTCCCGAAGTGTCTTCTGCCATCGTCGATAATGCCCCCGAAGTGCAAGCCGCCGACCAAAAGGGATTGGGGCTGGCATCTCTGAAACAGTCTCTGTCCCTCTTTTCCGGCAATTGTGATGTACGTTTGCCCGAAAATTTCACAGGTACCGAAGAGGAAGGAAAGGAACTGGTTTCAAATTTGAGGCAAATACGACTTGAAACCGACAGCCTCGAATCGGCCCTCTGGCGTTGGCGAGAAGATAATGCCGAGAGACAAAAATCCGGGTTAAACGTCGCTTCCGATGAGAAAAAGCTCAACAGAATCATGAGTGGATGGCACGCCGACCTTGTGGCAAGAATCAAGAAGGAGTTGGGGCTCGTTGAAGAGACACTTGCGACCCGTATCGTAAGTATTGAACAAAAAGAGCGTTGTGAATATGGTGTGTTTTTGAGGGCTCTCGATCCGGACCGGTTAGCTGCACTCACTCTGTTATCTGTGATGTCTACTTTCAGTCGCCAGGGAATGGACAAAGGA